AACTTTCAGGGGACCAGAAGCAGAGTTGTGCACTTCTTCAGAGCCAAGGGTGAAACACAAACCAGTGGACACAAGTGCATACTACAGAGTTCTCTAAAGCTGAGAACAAGAGGCCTGCTTAACAGAAAGGATTGTAGGAGTCTGAGAGTTTTAGTGTCAAACTTTGCATCCACAGTGACTCTCTTACTGTCTGTCCACTGCCATACAGAGTATAGAAGTGGAAACCCTCTATTGTATATGTGAAGCACTTTGGGATACTTTAAGGTGAGTGTCACGAAGCATCTTTCAGGACCCTGTGCAGACAGCACAATCCATAAGGGAGTGAACAGACACGGGGAGGAGACGAGGAACTGGACTGGTAGACGAACGGGGGGGGCGTGACGAAGGTGCTCGGGGGGGGCGTGGTCCAGGCAAACAAGTCCGAAGGGTGTTCGTGGGGACATCCGTGGGGAGGCAAATGTCCAGAGGCGGGTGGTCCATCCTTGACAAAGACAGACGAAGTTAAAAGCCGGAGCGGGATCTGGCGAAGGGTCGGGGGAATAAAAGGGGGGTAACGGGCCAGGTGCTCCCAGCTCAGGACCCAGACGGTCAGGACGCCGTTGCAAAGCCAGTGCTGTCAAGCCACTCCTGGACTCGCTGGTAGGCGGGCTTCCGGGCGTCCATCTTCCAAAGCTGAGCCCAGATTGGCAGGAATGTCTGGCTTTTATAAGACGGGGGCAGGAACCGGAGACAGGTGCAGGAGATCAGGTAAACGAGGAAGGGCTGGAGCGTCCTTAAGAGGAGGGGTTTAAGATGTTATTATCTGATCAAGTGTAATTCTAAATAAACAGGTAGGTTTTGATTTCACAATGGATAGCATAATGAGTTTAGGATTCAGTCATTTGGGCCATGAGGTTGTGACACCATAATCTTAGCCTCCTGTACAATTCCATCTGTCTGCACCTGGTTTGTTTTGTACCATTATAGTATCAACTGCTCCAGGGGCCCTGTACAATGGCTGACCCTGCGCTCTGACCCCAAACTTCTCTCCCTGTCTGTGTGTCTGCGTCTCATGGAGAGCAAGCTGGGGTATGTGAAAAGACTAATTCCTTATACAAGAAATTGTATATGGCTAATAAAGTGATCTTTTAACATTTCCACTGAGGTATAGTTATCATAGCTCTCTTCAGCACATTAGAGAAGTCAGGGCTTATTCGTTTCTAATAAATCTAAGCCATTGTACTATCTAGTGTCTCAGATCATAATCGTACCATTCAAAATCCAAGACAAAGAAACATTAGTAGTACCTTTACATGTATCCATTTGGAGTGGGTGAATTTATTTTCATAAGTCGTAGACTGGAATGTATTCCATCAAAGTAGCAGGATCAAGCAGTCTCCATATCTGTCTTCATTAAATCTTCACAGGCAAGCAGATTTCTTTCTTTGTTTTGATTTCTTTCTTTCACCTTAATCATGTTAAATGCACTCTTGGCAATGACTTACAAATCATCATCTAAAATTTTAACTGCAAAAGAACATAACTTAGTATTGCATATGCAGCATGTTTAAACACAGATAACAATAAGTCAGAGTACAGTGAAAAGTGTTTACCTAAACTGCCTTAAAAACATTTAAAATACAATATAAACAGTTGCTCGTGTTTCTACACATCTTAACTCAAGCTTATCATTTTATTTTTTAATAAGAGACAGTATAGAGCTTAACTGCAAATCCCTGTTTATTATCAACATCAACAATTTTGAACATTTAATGGATAGTAGCTGTTTATCTTCATTCAACAACACCTGGTATAAAAAGATCCTTAAGACTAGGAAAAGAAAGTTAGGCAAGCAAAATATATATGTGTATGTCTGTATTAACTAATCAAATGTATTAATCTATTTGAAATTGGCATTCTGAAAAACAAACAATATGTTCAGTTAAATTTTAAGTTAGAATAAGTGTTAGGTTAGGTGTGCAGTTAGAGTAGGGCAAAACTCTCCTTAGATCGGGGCTAAAGTTAAGGTTTATCTTGAGGTTTCAAAACTGGAGGTAATGTTAGGAGGTGTTTAGGTTTGTGTAAGACTTTTGTTTTCCGCTGCAGTTGGAATAGAGTAAAGCTTGGGACAGGAACATAAGAAAGGTTAAAAACTTGAAAGGAATGCTATCATTTTTTATTACATAACTGGGTATTTTGTTCGAGGTTCTGACAATCCTTGATGTACAGTAAACTAGGGGCACAAGTGGAAACTACTGTATGTGTAACTGCATTTAAAACTGAGAACAGGAGTCACTTCTTAACACAGATGTTTGAGGGATTACGGAACAAGCTACTCAGCCATATTCTTGAAGCACACAACCTCAGCTCTTTCCAGAAACAGCTGAACAACGTCCTTCGGCCAATTCATGAACTAGATGGGCTGAGTGGCCTCTCATTTGTAACCTTTCTCATGGTCTAAAACCGGTTACCTGTTCTCAGATTTAAGCATTTCCATTATTTACCTAAAAACGTTATCGCCTCTTAAAAAAGAAATTATTTAAATTCACTAGGGAAAAAAAAGTAAAAATGCAAACAGAAAGAAAATCTGTACGGTGAACTAGGCAAGTGCAATCACTGTGTTTGCATGTTAGAACAGAAATTAGGGTTCGTGCAAAGTTAAACTTGAGATGCGGTTTGTGATGTGTTTTATCTATTCTCTTCTTAGCTATGGATCATTATTGTCCAGACTGAAAAATGATTTACAATAATCGATAGGTATGATTTATTGTATATTGCTATACCATTTTCTGCGTTTGTCTGAATCTGATACTATGTTTTTCAAGGAATTTGAAAGTTGTATACAATCGTAATAAAACAATGAAGCTTATATTTAGGTCATTTATCACTCCACTCCTGACATATATCTTTCCAATTATGTAAAACCCTGTGAAACTCCACATTTTGCATCATTTAAACCTGCGTCTTGCGTTATGGGTGGGGACTGGGACGAGAGCATATTACATCACTTAAAATACAGCTTAAAAATATGTGGTGTGATCAGTTTCATGGAAATGCAATAGTTAACGTTAACGTAATCCGGATAGAAAAGCTCGTTTAATAAGTTTGTCCTTTCTGAGACACTGTAGCAGAAAATACATTATCGG